ATCTCCTATACACTACCTTCAATAGTTTCTAACTTGTTCTTCACGGCGTTAACACAACCCTCACATTTCATATCCACCATAAACTCAGTCTGGGAGTAAATTTATGAGTTTCAAAACCATATTCGAAGACACTACAAATGAGACAAACTGTAACAAAACTTAAACCACTTGATAAATAGAGGATCAAGAACTAAGCTAAAGAGAAAGGAAATAGCAAGGTAAATTGTAATAGTGATCTGATCAGGTTGCAAATATCCAAAAACTCTACTACATTGCACACAAATCAACCCAAAAACAAGAATTAGCATGTTTGTAATTCATTGGACCAAAAAATTTAGAAACTGCCAAGTAACATGTTTGTAATTATATGGAACATTAGAAAATGTTTTAAGGGTGGAAACCTAGACCATCTGCTACATTAGACTTCATACGTAGCCGGCTAGAAAGAGCGAAAGAGTAAAAAAGTAATTAATCATGAAAACTAGTTAGATTATAACTAAAGATGTGAAACTCAAGGATAAGGAAGACAAATAATTAACACACATTTTAGATCAAGAAAATCTGAAAAATTCATTATACATAATTTTAAAATATTTTTTTTAATTAAAAACAAAAATACAGACTACTAGTAGAGTTAAGACAGACGTCTACCAACAACATGTAAGTACTACAAAATATAGAAATTTGATTTATACAAATTCACACAGAAAAAACACATTAGATAACACACATGTGGGATCAAAAAAATCTAAAAAATTCATTATAAATAAGTTATAAATGCATTTCTAAGAAAATTAAAACTGCATACTTCATACGCAGTCTACTAGAAAGAGTGAAAGAGTAATTAATCATGACAAATTGTTGGATTATAACTAAAGATGTGAAACTAAAACATAAGGAAGACAAATAATTAACACATACTTCAGATCAAGAAAATCTGAAAAATTCATTATACATAATTTTAAAATGATTTTTTAATTAAAAATAACAATACAGACTTCAAATACAGTCTACTAGTAGACTTAAGTCAGACGTCTACCAACAACAGCTAAGTACTATTCAAACAAGAAAATTGATTTATACAATAAATATTGCACCTAAATATGTCAAATTCACACATAAAGAAACACATTTGATAACACACATGTGGGAGCAAGAAAATCTAAAAATTCATCATATATAAGTTTTAAATGCATTTCTAAGAAAATTAAATCTGCAGACTTCTCCAATAGACTCGGGAACGCTGTACATCTACTAGATAGACTTTCGGTGAAGTCTACACAATGGGTTATTTTTTCAATTACGGCAAACGCTAGCAGATTTCATTAGCAGTCTATTAGGTTACTTTTGCATTTGACCAGAGTTTGACTTTTCTCGGTAGACTTCTCTAGTAGTCTACAAAATACGGGGAAAACCATCGAAGTTCTAGTAGACTGCATAAGAAGTCTGTTGAACTCAGTATACTACTAGAGAAGTCTGCTAGAAAAGGACGGGTTACTTTTGCAAATGACCAAATTGTTAGACTTTTTGTGCAGTCTATTCTAAAAAAAATTAGTTTTGTGTTTAACCAAATATCAAATTAATTTAGCAGTAGACTTCTCGAGAAGTCTGCTAATTAAATTAATTAATAGCAGACTTCTTAAGAAGTCTGCCGATAAATGTTTTTCCTGGTCAATGTTTGTGATTTTTGTCAAACGCAAAACTAACCCGTCCGTACAGAACAAACTTTTGATGGAGTCTGCTAAAAAAGTCAACAATCTGGTCAATGCCATAAATAACCTCTGAGCAGACTCTATCTGCAGTCTACAGTCAACGTCTCCACCAAAAATCTGCTCTATAAAGTCAAAGTTTTGGTCAAATGCAAAACTAACCCATTTTCAAGTAGACTTCATGTGAAATCTACGAGTGTGTTTTTTTTGTTATCAAAGGAAAACAAACAGACTTCACGAGCAGTCTGCGTTGAATATTTTTTTAAAAAGTCAATTACAAATCTAACCTTTTGTTGACTAGCAGACTTCTTAACATAACATAACGTCGAATTAGAAAAATTATTTTATTTTGGAGATGTAATTTCGAAAGTATCCTAACCTTTTCGAAATTGATATGACATGACGGTTCAATAGACAGCACAGTTACAAGACATATATATATAATAGAATCATAAACCATTGCCGAGAAGGAAAATATTTTGTATAGTTGAAGCCAGATGCAA